GCAAGAACTGCAGAGTCATACGGCAAAGTGTGTGGATACCGAGAGGGTGAAAAATCGGGACTAACAATGCAGTGTATCACATTAGCCCATTGGGAACTGAGTCAGTGGCCTTGGGTAGGGCTTCTCAGACACTGGCACTCATAAGAATGGCCTCCAGAGCTCATCAAATACAAACTCCTGGCCCCACCACCAGAGATTCCGATTCAGTGGATCTGGGGTGGAGCCTGAGAATTTACATTTCTAACAAGCTCCCAGGTGATGCTGCCACCATGGATCCCCAAGGCGCACGGCCAGTCACAGTGACCTACAGTGCACTCCCAGGGACTGATTATCAGTAGGTAGAACATTTTAATTCTCCAGATAATATCTAATATCTCACAATGCAATGCTAGGACATCTCCTTAGCTGTGGAGGGAGAAGCCTATTTAGACCCACCTGAAGACAGAGCTTGGGGGGACCCACACCTTGTTGCTCCCTGACCTTGGGTAACAGAGAGCACACAGCTTGTGCTAAAACCCTCAGCTTCTTTCTCTGTCAAATAAGGATTATAACTTCTAAAAAGCATTCTATCACCCTACTCCCAATACATGCATGCTGAGTTAGCCCTTCCCTCCACTGAGCTCATACATAATCTCTATTAAAATAGTTATGGCAAGATGTTCCGATTATCTCTTTCCAACTCTGCTTTCCCCAGAGCTGCTAAGCTCTGTGACAGCTACCTCTGTGTCTTCTCCATGGGTCTCCCTAATGCCTGCCACTATTTAGGATCCCAATTCATGTTTGCTGAGTGAAAAAAAAAAAGAGAGGAAGAGCAAGATGGGCCTCTCCTAGGGAGACAGGACTCCTGTGAAACCATTCAAGAACACTGCAAAAGATCTGATCGCCCACCCCGTGCCGGAATCCTGTGCAACTGTGGCCTCCAGCTTTTCCTGAATTCATATAAAGCAGTGGTTTTCTTCACGGCTGCATATGAGAAGCACCAGGAGGTATTTTAAAAATCTCAATGCCCAGGCCACCGTCCAAACCACTTAAATCAGAAGACTTGGGGTGGGACCAGGCATTAGTAATTGTTTAAGTTTCTGGTGATTTCCACATGCATGCAGGACTGAGGACAGCTGAGTGTCAGAGGACAGCCAGCTCCCCAGCTCCGCAGCAGTGACACCTGCGGGGCAGACACAGGGGGACCAATGAGTCATGGATGGAGTTTACCCATCCCTGCCACAGGCACTGCAGCTATTTAGAATCAACAAACAATCTGGAGAAACAAGAAACAGATTCTCCCAACCTTGTTATGAAAACAAGGGATTAGCTGTTATTGCATAAAAGCCGGTGCCTCACTAATCCTTACAGAACCTGTTTTGTTTTGAGTTCCAAAGAAGTGATGGGTCCTTGGAAGGCCCTCTCAGCTAGTGAATGGCCTATCCAAAGGCTAGGAGAGGGCAACTGGCAGTGGGGCTCATCTAGGGGCCTCTTGAGAACAGGAGCCGGGTGGGGCAGGCCCTGAGGTCACAGAGGGGGGCTGAGCACAGGGAGAGGAGCACTCGGAAATCACGTGCCAGGATAGTTGGAGAAAGCCCAGAAAAGAGGAGGAGAAGGGAGACCCGGATGAGCAGGGGAAGGCAGGGTGGAGAAGGGCTGAGTGGTGAGGCTGGCCCCTCAGACCTGCCGCACATCTCCCAGCCCCCAAGCCCCCTCTCCAGCAGCCATGGGGCAGACAGCACAGTGCCCTCTCCTTTCCCACAGTCCCACTGAATGTTCTATGCACCTCCTCCCCGGAGGGCCTCATCCCCAGGGACGGGAGATCCTGTTCTCCAAGCAAGAACACGTGGAACCCAACTGTGATCCAAAGTTCCATGTCACCAGTGATTCAGGTAGAACAGAACAAGGCTGGTGGCTCTGGGCCACTCATACCAAGACGATCTTGTTGCTTTCTTATCGCTCAGAGGGATAAGCACTGACTTGTAAAGTGATAAAAACCCTCTGCAGATGAGCATCAGCTAGGCAGCAAAGCAGCTTGGCTTTATCAGAGGCCCCCGTGGCTGAACACCAGAGAGGTTCTTCGCATCCAGTCATCAGGAGCAGGTGGCCCATGTACCAGTGGGAGTTCAGCCCCAGAACCAGGGCCTTTAGAGACCCGAGGTCTGGCTCCTTGGTGTCTCAGCCGGACGGATGGCGGACTGGTGGACGAAGGCAGTCTTCTGGCCTCGTACCGTCGAGAAAACACCACAGGACCATTCCCAGCCACTTCTTTTACAGCAGATACCCCAGGCCATCACATCAGCGGGAGACTAAGCAAAGCACCCACCTTCTCCCCCTGCATGTGAGAAAGGAATAAGGATGTTGCAGAGCTGGGGATTTCTGCTTTGGCCAGAGCAGAGGGGACATGCCAGTTGATCTTCTGATAATATTTTGCCCTCTCAGGACCTGATGGCAAATCCAGTTCAAAGGGAGCCACCAACTGGGTGAAGACCACTCCCTCCTGCATTAGGATGGTGGTAGGCTTCTTCTCGACGGCCTGCAGCCATGTTGCACTGGTTCTCCTGCTCGGGACACCACCTTGCTGGTTCCGCCTTGTATGTCAAGCACTACAAGCCTCAGACAACCCCAAAACCTGCCTTCCGGATCAGCGGCTCTGTGGTCATGGTGTCCATTTAGCAACCAGGAGAGTCCAAATCAGACAAACACCAGGCTCAGCTGCATTTGCGCTCAACATGGGGCAGCTGCCGCCGCCAAAGGGTCACAGAGGTGAGGACGGGGGGGTCCAAAGAGATAAAACACACAGAGCACTTTCGACCCTACCAGGCACATGGCAAGGGCTCGATGACCAAGTCAATCCACATCTGCTCGTGGGATTCCTCAAGAGCCAGTCTACATTCTGGTCACCCATCCCTCACAGCCACGAGTCTCAGAACCCAATTCTATTTAAGAAGCAGCCTGAAAAGAAAGCTGATTCTTGGCAGAGTGTCCAGCTCTGATGTATGGAGGCTGGATCAGAACTTTTCTCCCCTCCCCCACCACACTGTGGGCTCTGGGAGAGCCTTAAGTTCCAAGGCAAGGGGCTAGCAGCCTCCACAGCCCTACGTCCCTCTGCTACCCCATCTTCCCCAGCCACGGACAATTCCACTCTGTATTTGGAGTGGCCATAGGGAGTGTGGCTAAGGGGGAGTCATGCTCTCGTGTGCCTGTTTGTCGATTTGATTGCTTTTGGAGAAAGTAAAAAGAATTTCATGGTGTGCCAAATCTCTTTACAGAGCTGAAAACATTCAAGAACCTTATCTGTAACCTCTGCCACACTCTCCCATATTTGCCCCCTTCCCACCTGTTCTCCCCCACCCCTCTGTATTGTCATCTATTTCTTCTTCCCTTCTTCTTTGTTGCCTCTTTCCTTTCTTCTTCCCTGTTATCCTCCTCCCCCTCATCCCTCCCTACACCTACACCCCGTGGGACAACTCTGGGCAGGGGGCAAAGGGTTGATGGTTAGCCGTGGGGGTTGGGTGGGGAAAAGGGAGACATTCCAGCTCCTTTTCACCATCTCAGACTGTGTTCACATACATCCGCACTAGGTTGAGCAATTTCGTTTCATTGCATTGTGCATTTTAGGATGAAAGTCCCCCTAAACTGAACTTGAGAACTTCCTTTTAAAATTGTAAAGTGAAATATGCCTTGAATGACTGAAAATAACCAGCGAACCTGGTGACCATCTGCATTTCTGTTACAAGAAGTACACTAAAATCCATGAGAATGGCATGGGGGTGAAACAGGACTGTCCTCATAGCGGAGTAAATAAATCCGAAGGTAAATACTTACTACGACCCTACTACCAGCAGAATAGAGGAGGTCTTCAGAGTTTCTGCCTCAGTCTTGCCTAGGTTTAGATGTCCCTGAGGAACTTCTCAGCAGGGCAGCTCTGGATAGAAAGGGAGAATGGTGCCTCTTCTAGGGCCCCATCCCCCACCATACCCCACCCCCGGGCAATCAAGGGCATCCACCTGCCCTGACCCTCCACTGTTCCAGCCCCCATCTGTCAGCACTCCTCGCCCACCATGGCAGGAGTGCCCCCCTGTGTGGGCCCATGGACTCTGGTTCTGAGAGGGTGGGTGCCAGCTTATCCCCATGGGATGGGTCCAAGCCAGCAACCTCCCTCACCTCCTGACCCACCTCCAGGGGTATCTCCCCAGGGCTCCAGCCTCTCCTCTACCCCCCTGAAGCCTTTGGAGCCATTGCCCTCTCCTGTGTGCACGCGCATGTGCTCTCTCCCCAGTCTCAGCATTTTGTAAACCAACTCGTCCCATGACTGTCATACCTCCTGGGACATCATTGTGCCTACCCTCGCAGGTGAAAAATGTTCCTGCCCCAGACAGATGGGCCTTTAAGAAGATGAGTGATTTTTAGACCTTGTCTGCAAAAGTCACCAAAACAATTCCATGCTCCAGGGTGCTGACCCAAAGACTTCCAATCACAGCGAGCCCCCATTAAATGTCAAACTTTTCCCAGAACACCTCCAAAATGAGATGAGCTCAAGACAGCACAGTAGATGCTGATGAATGCAGCTATTTTGAAATGGTAATGCAATGAGAATGAGTCTTTGAGAAATAGATGCTGGTAGAAATTTCCATGCAGGAGCCCGGTTGCGTTTGGTCTTTAAATTTTTTAAGAGATTTAAAAATACCCAATCCCATTCTTTCTGCCATGGAAATGGGGACAGACACTGAGGGAATAGTGTCTGGGACTTTAAGGTGGTGGAGAGCTCTCCTGCCTACACAAGGATCCATTTACCTTCATCCGGCCTGCTGGTTTCTGCAGATTCCTGTTGGTACATGGTCTAGCGGCCGCCTGGCCTGGCCTGGCTGGGAGGGGGACAGGGGCATGCCTACCAGACCTGTCACAGTGTCACCGGCTGACAAAGGCGTCGCTTTCATGAGTTGTTTTGAGGACAGTTTGACTTTCAATTCATTGATTTCTTTCCTTCCACAGCATTGTTAGAGATAGAGAAATACAAATCCAATTTACTATTTTAATGGACACACTGATAAAAATAACACTTGCGTAACACTGTGGAAGGCAGGGCGTTTAAACAAAAAATTGGGTTGCTTAATCATTCAAACAGCCAACAACATCGGAATTGCCATTTCCCCAATATTTTGATCCCTCCCTGGTTGGTAGAGAGATTAAACAAGCTGCCAGAGATCAAACCACCCGCAGTGGTAGATGGGGCTGGGGCTGGAACTGGGGCTTCTGCCCCGTTGGTCCCCGCTCTTCGACCACAGCTATCTCCTCTCAGGAGCCGCTGGGAAGCTTTCATTCTTCTGCCTTCCAGCAATGCCACACTTGCAGAAAGAGCCGAGCCCGCCTAGTTCCAAAGGTGTCCAAAGCAGACGCCCCCAAAGTCTCCCGGGGACTGCAACCGAGGTTTAACGTCATTACTTTACGGTGTCCGGAGCGACACTCCCCTTCAGTCATCTTTGGGATGGAGGAGAGCGGCCGCCTTCTTCCTCCAAGTCCTTCTCTTCTCAGAAACAGGGATCTAACATGTGTTTCAGCCCGAGGGCAACCGGAGCAGCAGACCACCTTGACTGGTGTGGAATACGGGCTTTATTACAGGGCTAGCCCTTCCACCACCATGGGAGCCCCGCCACCATCATGAGGCGCCCGTGCGTGCAATGGGCTGGAAGTCAGCAGGCCAACCCCCAGGAGGGGAAGAAGGTCGGAAGTGGGGGAGACCAGCAACAGATGAGAATGGCATCTGTCTCTCACTGCCTCCTCCAGCCGTGATGACACGGGCGACCTGCAGAGTAAATTGGAGACAGACAAGGAGATGCAGGGGAAGCCAGAGCTGTTCAAATCCAACTGCTGCCCCATCCAGCAAGGTCAGCCAGCAGGTCAGGGACTTGGGGCTCCATCCACACTATGGTGCCTGCCCTGCTGTGACCTGCTGAGCATAAAAACGGCCACTACTTCACTCCTCCCAAGTCCCATACAAATTTCTCCTGTGGTGAACTTTGTAGTTTTTCCCATCTACCCCTATAAGTGCTTTGACCTGACTTCAGACACTTGCTAGTCTCTCTGCAGTTCACATCGCATAGATAGAGCCCAAAAGGAAAACCTGATTCCAAGAAGGCTGACCCCAGACTTAGGTTAAAGTCCAATCTGTATGTCAAAGCCTATTTTGAAAAGACTTCTTTAATATTTTCTCCCATGTCCTATTTCACACAAACTTGCCTGAAACTTTTTAGAGACATGTAACCATGAGTAAAATACCCGTATTTCTTGCTCAGGCAGCAAATCTTACCCCAAAATACACTGATACTATTGACACGCTGAGATTCACATCTTGTCACTCATCTACAAACTGTGGACAGGCTTTCAAAGCAAATCGCCTTCTACTATTCCAACCAGGGCACTTGGGTGGCTCAATCAGTTAAGTGTCTGTCTCTTGATTTTGGCTCAGGTCATGACCTCAGGGTTGTGAGATCGAGACCTGTGTTGGACTCCACACTGGGCATGGAGCCTACTTAGAATTTTTGTTCTTCCTCTGCCCCTTCCCCTTTCCCTCTCTCTCTTTAAAAAAAAAAATATATATATATATATATATATACATATTAAACCATAGTAACCACTGACCCTTCCATAGTTAATCCATGCAATTTGAATGGTGATCCATCCCACTCTGTACTAATGCAGGGCTATCTCAGGCTCAGATCAAAGGCAGCACACACCAGGGCCTCCCCTAAAAAGAAGACAGGACATCTCATGTGGTACTTAAAGGCTCTTTGATGAAACCTGGCAAGTCTTTCTTCTGTGCATACACACGACACACACACAATGATGAATAAAATCTGTCCAGATGGGTAAAAATTTTCTGATCTCTGTTATGAATAACAAAAGGACCCAGAAATCCGTAGAATGCCTGAGAGTGTGGTGGTTTTTATTTCCATTAGTTGATTGAAATGTCCAAGCTGCCATGATGAATGGAGCTGGAGCTTCACTGTACTGAGGGAATATGTCCCATTACCCCAGGAAACCCTTGCAAAATCCCCTGTTTGGTTAACTGAGCTTTCTTTTAAGTTCAATATTCACCAGATTAATTTTACTGTCACCATTGAAAATTTCAATACAATATATTTGTCCATTTTCCTGCTTTACTCTATAACACAGGCCTAGCACATGCTCAACAATAAATAGTAATGAATGAAATAATTAATCACATTTTCCATTATTGATTTAAGATTTTGAAGGGCTTCAAATTTATATTCTGTATGCATAATTCTTTTCCAATACCATAAAAACAAAAGCTAGGTATCAGTTACTGGCTGGATCTCTAATAAACTTAGAATATGCTTTACAAGATTATTTTAAATAAACCCCTACTATGATTTGTCTTCTTACCACTTACTTTTTGGACAAAGGATTTCCTGCCTAGGGATATTCTGATAAATTGAGGAAATCCATTGATTTATCAATTCAGTAAATTTTTCATACTTCCTTTGTTGTAGATTCTATGCTAAACTTGAAAAACAGTAAATATAGAATTCAGCCTCTATCCTGAAAAAATATGGTCTAGATTTCAAGATATACTACAAAGCTATAGTAATCAAAACAGTGTGATACTGGCACAAAAATGGGCACATAGATCAATGGAGCAGAACAGAGAGCCCAGAAATAAACCCACATTTATATGGTCAGTTAATCTCCAAGAAAGAAAGCAAGAATATACAATGGGAAAAAGTCAGTTTCTTCAATAAATGGTGTTGGGAAAACTGGACAGCAACAAGCAAAAGAATGAAACTAGACCACTCTCCTACATCATACACAAAAATAAACTCAAAATGGATTAAAGACCTAAATACAAGACCTGAAACCATAAGATTCCTTGAAGAAAACATAGGCAGTAATCTCTTTGACGTCAGCCATAGTAAACATTTTCTAGATATGTGTCCCTTGGCAAGGGAAACAAAAGCAAAATTAAACTATTGGGACTACACCAAAATAAAAAGCTTTTACACAGTAAAGGAAACCATCAACAAAACAAAAAGACAACCCACCAAATGGGAGAAGATATTTGTAAATCATGTATTTGATAATGGGTTAATATCTAAAATATATAAGGAACTTATACAACTCAACATCAAAAACAAACAAACAAACGAACAATCCCTTTTAAAATGGGCAGAAAACATGAACAGACATTTTTCCAAAGAAGACATACAGATGGTCAACAGACACATGAAGAAATGTTCAACATCACTAATCATCAGGGAAATGCAAATCAAGACCACAAGGAGATATCACCTCATGGCTGTCAGAATGGCAAAATAAAAAATACAAGAGTCAACAAGTGTTGGCAAGGATGTAAAGAAAAAAACCCTCATGCACTTTTGGTGGGAATGCAAACAGGTGTAGCCACTGTGGAAAACAGTATGGAGGTTCCTAAAAAACTTAAAAATAGAAATACCATATGATCCAGTAATTTCACTACTGGGTATTTAACCAAAGAAAATGAAAACACTAATTTGAGAAGATATATGCACTCCTGTGTTTATTGCAATATTATTTATAGTAGCCAAGATATGGAAGCAACCCAACTGTCCTCCTTAGATACATAGATAAAGAAGATATGGCATATATTCACTATGGAATATTACTCAACCATAAAAAAGAAGGAACTCTTGCCATTTGCAACAACATGGATGGATCTAACGCTAAGTGAAATAAGTTAATCAGAGATAAACAAATACCATACAGTGTCACTCATATGTGGAATTTAAGAAACAAAACAAAGAAAAAAAAAGACAAATAAAAAACAGACTCTTAAATATAGAGAACAACTTGTGGTTGCCAGAGGGGAAGTGGGTGGGGGGATGGGTGAAACAGGTGAAGGGGATTAAGAGTACATTTATCTTGATGAGCAACATATTCTAACATATAGAATTGTTAAATCATTATACTGCACACCTGAAACTAATATAACACTTTATGTTAATTATATTTGAATTTTAAAAAATTTTAAGCAACAACAAAAAAGGAATGCTGACAAAAAAAAATATATATATATATATATAAAATCTAATTGATGATGTAGAGAAGTGAAGTAAACCAGGAATTACAAGACAGTGGGATAAGTTGAAATGACAAATGCTTTAAGTAGGGGAGGGGCTACAGTGGGAGAAGGCCACCCCGGTGAGAAGGAATAGTCTATTTCTGCCACTGTTTAGAGTTGCTAGTATGAGATGATAAATTGACTTCTGGTCAATTTTATCATTCTTTTAAATTTCTCTGCAGACCATGCACCTCTTATTGCCTGCACTGCTTCCAGGCTAGCCCCCTTCCTTGATGGCCCCTGATTGTCAGGGGGCCAGGAGAGTTACCTCATAGAGCTGTAGAGGAGAAGAACATAGGCTAACATGAGTCCCAGCTCATCAGAGACCATGCCTCAGAAAGCTAACAAGGACTTCAGGGGCAATTGAGTTTCTGGATCAGATCCATTGTCATCTGGCCATAATTGGGACATTAATCTTCATATGAGGTCATTTGTGGCCAAGTTGGTAAGTCATGGTAATAATCAGGTAGCAGGACAGAAATCTCCAGTGGTTCGAAGGGGCCCAAAGGAAGAATGCTCTATTCCCTGGTCGGGCACCCATAAGCAAAGGCACCTGAGAAGAGCCGCATCTGTCCTACCAGGTAGAGAGGTGGGTTTGGGGGTCTCTGGGCAGAGGAAACCCATTCGGCAAAGCATGAAGCAGCCTGGCACTAAGGGCCACCTGTTGGCGTAGAGCGACCTAGGAGCAGGTGTAGGAGGGTCTGGCAGATATGGACGGAGAGGTAGACTAAGGGCTTTTATATTGCCCTGAGGAATTAGGACAAAAATTTGGAGTGTACCTTGTGCCTCTCTATTCTCCTATGTCCCTCTTCAGATTTTGTGCTAGGTGCTAACACATCGGAAAGCATTTTGGGTGAAGGTAGCCCAAAGGTACAAATGTCCATTTTTAAAATAAGTAAGCCTTGGAGATGTAAAGCTGTAGGATTCAGTATCTGATAGACATGACCCTGAGAAAAAGGGAGGGCTCTGGCCTGGCCCTGGTCTCTGGCACAAATGGTAAGGACACAATTCACAGCGGGGACATCCGGGAAGAAGGTCACGATTCAGAGGCAAGAAGGTGGGATGAACTGGGGCAGGTGGAGGGTGAGATACTGAAAGACATTCCGCTGGAGTCATCCTGCAGAGAAGCTCCTGCAAATGTTATAGGTTGTACACATTCAAGCAGGGGGCGGGGCGGGGGGGGCGGTCACTGAGCAAGAACGGATTGTGTAACAAGAGAAAAGGCTAAGGGACAGAATGCTGGGAAGCGCCGACATTGAGGAGTGATTGTGGAGACTATCACTCAGTAAAGAGGTCAGAGGGAAGAGGAGAGGCTGGGGCTCAGAAGCCAAAGGAGGAGAGGGTTTTCAGGAGCAAAAGACCCACAGCAGGGCCATCCCATCGATATAAAGTGCAAGACACAATGTTCCTGCAGCCCCACTGTAAAGAAAATCAAAGCAAGTGAAACCAACTTTAGTAACAGATTTTGTTTAACCCCCTCTAGCCAAAATAGTATGATTTCAAAATGTAATTAATATAAAAAGTAAGGAGAGATTTTACGTTCTTTGTTTCAAGCCAGAATTCAGAAGCTTACAGCACATCTCAATTCAGATGCTAAATTTTCATCAGCAATGCTTGAACTGTATTTAGATCTCATAAAATTTACAGTGGAGAAAACTACGTTCACAGGCCCAAGTTGTTCCAATCATACTTAAATGGTTTTCAAGGGGCGCCTGGGTGGCTCAATCAGTTGGGCGTCTGACTCCTGGTTTTGGCTCAGGTCAGGGATTAAGGCCTGGGTCAGGCTCCCCACTCAACAGGGAGTCTGCTTGGGACTCTCCCTCTCCCTCTCCCTTTCCCCCAGCTCGCACATGCTCTCTCTCACTCTCTCTCTCTCTCAAATAAATAAATCTTTTAAAAAGTTTCTCAATAACTGAATCAAGTATCTGTTTTTAAATTTAAATTTTAAGTAATTAAATTTAAATGAACAGTTCAGTTGCTTAATGTACTGCCACATTTCCTGTATTCTTGAAATAACCCTCTGGCCAGTTGGCCACTCTTCTGGATACCACCATGGACAGGGCAGAGCCACGGAATCCAATGACACAGAGCAGCCAATGGGCACAATGGGCCAGAGACCACTGCATAAGGCAGTGGGAAGAAGCAATGGTTTTGGTGGCTATTGGTGCCAATAGCCTGGGAGTAAAGGGTCAAAGGATGAAGGAAAACTGAGGAAAAGTCAAGAGTCAAAGTAAATTTCTTGGATAGGGTCTTCACTTTGTAAGGAAGGAGAGAGAAAGTATAGTAGCCACAGTGAATGCAGAACCACGGGACCTTGGATTTTTGTTTCATGAGACAGAAGAGTGTTAGGAATATTGGCAAGCCCGGGGAAAGAAGCAGTACTGAGAGAGAAGTTGTGGTATTGGCGGATAGTAGAGGTGATGTTTGAGACTTTATTTCTTTGAAATCCCTGGGTAAAGCAACATGCAATAACAATAGTCATACAGTCAAGTTTATTGAGTGCTTCCCATGTGTTGGTCATGCTCACTTCGTGTATTATCACATTTAATCAACATGTAATTATAGAACTGTAGATTTTGCTTTGAGAAGAGAAGCAGAGACTGGAATGATCATTGTTAGATCAGTTGGAA